TTATCTATCTTTTTCAACATCCATTGATTGTATCAAAACCAGGAAGCACATTGCATTTTTGGGCATGTACGTGCATCTAATTATATATATATCCATACCATTCCCCTCTTTTTCTCATCTGTCCTAATCTCCATCACATTTCTTATTTCTCTTCATCAACATAATGGAATGGTTTTCCTTTCCTGTTTCCATGGCCTTACTTTCCCTCATCTTACACTGCATACATGCAGTTCCTCAGGTTCCTTGCTACTTCATTTTTGGAGACTCCTTGTCAGATGATGGCAACAATAACTACCTTCCAACACTAGCAAAAGTAAACTATCCGCCATACGGAATCGACTATCCTCAAGGACCAACGGGAAGGTTCAGCAATGGCAAAAACATCCAGGACGTTATTGGTTTTGATTCTTTATCTCTTTTCCCTTTGTATCTACCTTTATTCTCTCTATATATAAAAATTATGAGATGTCTTGTTTACTTCATGCATGACCACGCACAGCCGAAAACTTGGGTTTTCCAAGTCCAATTCCTCCGTTTGCGAACGCAACGGGCAATGCCATACTCAAAGGTGTCAATTATGCCTCTGGTGGGGCAGGAATCCGTTTTGAAACAGGAGAAACTGTGGTAAATTAATTAGTAAATGAATTAGTTAACTACATGAAGTTGCCACTAGCTTGTTAAATCTTTGTTTTTCGTTTTCTCTTTTTGGGTTTTTTTTTTTTTTTTTGGTTTCTTTTTTTCAATTTTGTTGGTTTGGTGTAGGGGGCTCGGATATCACTGGATATGCAGTTAACAAATCATGCAATTACCATATCTAAAATTGCTGCAATATTATTAAGCAATGAATCTGCTTCAGATCTCCTAAGCAAGTGTATATACACTATCGACATAGGCAGCAACGACTACATTCTCAACTACTTCTTGCCACAGTTCTATCCTACCAGCCACCAGTACACCCCACAACAATATGCTAAAGTCCTCATACAACAATATTCACGTCAAATTCAGGTTTCTCCTTAATCAGAATAAAAGAATTTCAGAATTGTTTATTAATATTCTCAGATACCTATATATAAGCCATATATATTTTTGTCAGAATTTGTACCATAATGGAGCAAAGAAATTTGCCTTATTTGCAATCGGTTATATCGGATGCACTCCCTATGCTGTAGCAACTTACGGTACTAAAAATGGCTCTGCCTGCGTAGATGACCAGAACCAAGCTGTCCAACTTTTCAACGAGGCGCTCCTGTCTCTTGTCAACGAACTCAATAACAACATATCTGATGCTAAGTTCACCTACATAAATCCTTATGGCTTCACAGCTACCGGTAAACAAATTGATCATGTGCCCTTTCACAATCGTCAATATTTACTATTAATTAAGACACATCTAAGTGTATAAACAAACATACCATTATATATAATTGTTGATGTTATCGTATTTGTTTCGATGTTTCAGGTTTTGTTACGAATTCTAGCTGTTGTGAAGTAGACAATGGGGGACAGCTTTGTGTTCGGAACTCAGTTCCATGTTCTGATAGAAGCAAATATACGTATTGGGATGGAGTGCATCCAACTCAGGCCATCAACATCCTTGCCGGTGACTTTGCTTATGCAACAACGTCTACTTCCAATGCCTATCCATTTAACCTTCAAAGTCTGGCACTTCAATGATGGAAATGGAGACGTACGAAGCTTACCTTGAATAATTTCCATTTTCTTTTTGAGAATAAATAAGTAATAAAAGAAGGCTAAAAATGTATGGTCAGGTCTACATTGATTTGATTCTATATATATCCATTAAATAAAGACTTTGTTGCAGTGACATTATTTTAAAGTTGTGCCTCTAAGCTGCCTAATTCCAGCTAAAAATCGGTTGTGAACTTGGAATTTTACCCTGCAGATTAAGGTATCGGCAAATGATGTATTCTCTGTGTTAAGAGTCAACTAAATCCAAAACTATTGATGTTCAGCTTCCTCTTTTGCCAATATTCGGAATATTTACCATCCTTTTCTGTTGAACAACGTTCCACTGATCAAATGCAGAAACCCAAAATATATTTTTTCTTTTTTTTTTTTTTGAACAACAAAAGGTAATATTTATTTAAAAAATGGAGTACAAGGGATGCCCAAACCCATAAATATTTTAACTTAAAAGGCATAAATTTACAAGAATCTCTGGTGACACAAAGCAGGAAACAGAAACTCTGGATGCTTGCCGTATAGTGTCGACACCAAATTTATGTGTCGACACCACACCCGTGTCGGGTTTCTGTCCTCTTTTGCAACTTCTTCAATGGTAAAATAGCACATCTGGTCCTCCATATTTTGTACAATGAGCATTTAGATCCCAAAACTCAAGATTCATTCATTTAGGTCCACAAGATGCGCCTTCCTTCTTGCAATTTAGTCCCTAAAATTTCAGAAGATGTTCATTTAAACCCAAAACTCCTATTCTTATGCATTCACGTCCTTTTCTCTTTTATACAATTTTTTGGTGCTAATAGCCAATCTGTCAATGAGCATGACCAGTTCTTGCTCTTTGCTTTCAACCATTCCCATGATCTGATTTGGATGCAATCAAACACCCTTTGAGCATCTGGTTCCTTCCCTTTGAGCATTTGGATGTTATCAGATAATAAATATATTCTATTTATTATCTGATAACATTGTTACACTTTCGTACCTTAAGTAATTCAACAGCAAAGTTCTATTTGCAGGAATTGTTGAGGGTTTGGAGTAATTTTAATTGTTCTGTTTTGCCTTGAAATTCTTGGGTGCGGTCCTGTGAAGAAAAGCCTACTCTGAAACTATAATATCTGAAATGCAGAACGCAATATATTGAGTTTGCAAGAGTAAGACAGAAACATACCTGAAGTTGTATAGGATGTTGTTTATGGTACTGCAGAAAAATCTTGAATCAGTAATTGCAGCACAAAGCTCCTCTGACCAAGATAAGACATCACTGCGAGTTATGCCTCTCTAGGCTGCTGCTTGCTGCCTAATTCCAGCTGAAATGCAGAGGATACTGAACAAAAGGAGTTTCGAAAAAGAGAGAGGAATCCCATAAAAAAAATTGTATATAGTCATTAAGAGGTTGCAGTTTCTGTACTTTAGTAGAGGACATCTTGTTCTCCACCTCATTCAGTTCAATAATGTTTTCCCTTATGCTAAGATTAGATTTGGTAAAATTGAAGCTATTTGGAAGATACCACCTAACTCACCAATAATGAGTTGAGTTATTGGTCTAAAGCATGCGGAATTGGATATGACTGAAATTAACCAATTGTCATGTTGGTTTGAGTGGAAAGAGTTAAGATTATTTTAAGTAAGAGTCGAACTAATTTAGATCTCTTTAAGTAATATCTCAAGTTTGAGTCTTATGAATAGAAAAACAAATGTTGGGAGAGCTTTTTGGTTTCCTTCCAAATCGAGTCGACACAGCTTAATTTTAGATTAATTGGACCTTATGTAGTTATGGAATATCAAGAAGTTAGTAAAAAAAAAATATGATTAAAATTATTTAGAAATTATCCAGATTTAAATAGGTTGGATTGGGATTAAGTCAAGTCGAGTTAATACAAAGTGACTTAATTAAAATTAATTATATTTTTAATTTTAATTTTTTAAATATTAAATTAAATTAAATATGTACAATAATAATTATTTATTAAATTATTAAACTTAATATTAACTTAATAATTTTTTTATTAAATAATTAATTAATATTAATTTTTTTAAAAATAAAAAATATTAAAACTTTTTAAAATTTAAAAAAATTAAATCCGTTCAAACCAATTTAAGATTTACGTCGGTGAATTATGAATTTATTACTTTAACTTAAATTTAAAATAATCTACTTGATAAATCTAAAATTCAACATGACTCAATCCAGATTCACCCTCTGACCTGATACAATCTATTTGCAAGTCTAGCTAAGATTACGGAATATACTTCGTGAGCTCTGATATCAACGATGGATATAAATGTGGGATTTGTTGGTTCCTCATCTTCACTCCCACGCGAAATAACGGTTCTCAAGGAGCAGGGTGAATTGGAGCCTCTCCTCAAAACTTATTAGAAGTAGGTCTACAATAGTCATTTCCACAAATTGATCACACACTAATCGTGTTTTACTGTACAAAATCAATATATATATTTTTTAACGAATTACATTGGGGTAAAATGATTCAAACCCTAGCTTAAGGATGAGAGATGCACATTCAACAAAGTATAGAATTATCGGATTATGAGACTCAGCTGCCAAATTAATACCTTTTAATTTGTAAAATCAATAAAAACTTATTGAAGATGCATACTAAACAAGAGTGATTATTATACATTTGTGATTTTTTACAAATGTATTTAGTTGTTTTTGCTAAATAGTTAAGAATTTAACTTTTCAATTTTTAAAAATAGATAAAGAGAAATTATATATAGATATATAGTGTTATCCTCTTTATATAACTCAATGATATGATGTGCCTAAAAAGAAAAAAAAAAAAAAGAGTTAGCTTCCTATCACATGTATCTACTAGTAATTACTACTACCTAATTAGCGAAAAAGGCAAATTGCCCCTTGAATTCACAAAGCTTCCTTAAGTTTAAATTTATACTACATGTACCTTAATTAATAATAATTAGTTTGAAATTAAAATCAAGTATTGATTGTGATTATACCATTTATCTAAATGAAAATGATATTGTAACCTTATAATTATGATGTAATACAAATTTATAATATGAATAACATTTTATATTCCACATTCTCTTATAATAAAGTAAGTGTTTAGTCATTTAATGATATATTATAATTATAAATTTATGATTCTTATCTTTATTGAAGATCTTACTAGGACCATGGCCCTTCCTTCGTTCAAGTAGTTTTATAAAGCTTTATATATCTATGCCACTCCCCCTTTTGTACATCTCTATCCCAATCTTCTATATATTACCTTTCTCTTTATCAACATAATGTAACGGTTTACCCTTCCTATTTCCACGGCATTACTCTCCCTCATTCTAACCTCAGTATATCATTAAGTCCCTAGCTGCTTCCTCTTCATAGACCCATTATCTGACAATGGCAACAATAATAATCTTCCAACTTCTGTAAAAGCAAACCATCCTCCATATGGGACCGACTATTGTCAATGACCAAGAGGAAGGTTCAGTAATAGTAAAAACCTCCAGGATGTTATCGGTCTGTTTTGC